TAATCAAACATATCAGTTTCACAGTTGTTATTTTCATACCGTTAAGCTATTATCAAGAATATACTTATAGAGTTGTAATCAAGTGAACAATTTCTATAATACAATGCAACTGATTAGTCAAATAAAAAATTATTGATCTATTAAAATTGAAAAGAGTACATTTCAAAGAAGAATCATTTTCTACTTCGCAAACTGTAACAAAAAAAGATGGTATTGATGAAATCGAGTAATTTTTATGATATTTTATTGGCAGTAGATTATCGTAGTTTACAAAATATTTATAACAAATAATGATTTGAACAAATAATATTATTTTTAAGCTATTGCATAGCTTTTATCACGGGCTTTGAGCACGGCGACCGAATCAAAAAAAAAAAAAAAACGAAACCGTAACGAAAAAAACCTAACACCCCCACTCCGACCGGCACAGCGGTGTTAAACAATATTAACTTCTCATTTATTCAATAAAAGAAAATTGAAAAATTGAAAAATGAAAAATCGAAAAATAGAAAAATCGAAAAATCTAAAACTCGAAAAATCAAAAAATCAAAAATTGAAAAAATCAATAAATCAAAAAATCAAAAAATCAAACATCGAAAAATCAAAAAGCGTTGAAAGCCGTGCATCGTCTAACATCGTTTCAGTTCGGCAGACTTCGGCACGGTGTTGTGTGCGTGCTAACTGCTCATAACTGATTCTATTTTTTTTAGACACAATTTCGGAAAAAAAGAAACTTATGTTTCTTATTTTAGTTACTATAAACCTATAGTTTCAAAAATAAAAATTCCTGAATAACCTACATGTATTGTAAGGTAATAAAAATATTTTAAACAATATTAACTTCTCATTTATTCAATAAAAAAAATTGATTTCTTATCGGTCACCACGCTCAAAAAGTGTAACTTGAATTATTATCACAGAAAAAAAACTTGAATTTATTAATTCAAGTTTTTTCTTTTATAGTTCAAAGAAGAAAAAAATACTGCATAAATAAAATAAATAAATAATTATAATTGCAGAAGTTGATAAAAAATGCTATGCAATAGCTTTACCGCGGCAGTTCCCGAGTGCCACACGTATTTTTTTTAATTGTATTTTTTGTACGCAGCAACAATATCCCTTTTTGAGAGCTTGGAAAAATTTTTCTATGTTCTTCAATAACTTGTAGCAAATATTGTTTTTGCTCTTTACTCCTGATTAAACAATTATTGTATTGCTTTATAAGCGCTATACCTCTTTCAGCCAAATTATTGACTTCTTATTTCGTTATTTCGACAAAATCACCTCTTACTCAAATGTCATTTGTCGTCTATATGCTTTGTGTTAAAGAAAGTGACATTGATTTTGATCTAACACCCAGCGAAGAATATGTCACTTATATTTTGATTAATCTTGGTCATCCGAAGTATTAAATTATATTTATTTATGTTAATGATCGTCTGATTTTATAAGGTACGTTTTGTCAATAATATGGTAGGTATTAAATATATATTTTGTGCAATGATTGCTCATAACATAAAATAACCTCTACATTTCAATAAATGATACATGTGAGCTTTATATAAAATAATATATTATTTTTTGGAATAAGATATTATGCTTTACTATAATTAAATATATGAAATAAGATTTTAGTCTCTGTGAAATTATTCATAATAATCAAAGCATTTTATCTAAATCCTTTTCAAAAGTCCTTTCTCCTATCATAACATTTTAACTCTTTTTAGCTGAAGGCTATCTATAGACGGTTTCATCTCTAGACGATTTTTTGAGTTCGAATACCATGTATCTTGAAGATCATTCGCGTTTCATCTCTAGACGGTTTTCAGTTCGAATACTATTTATCTTGAATATCATTCGAGATTCAATCACTTTTTGGTTCTAATACAATAAGAATCATTTATCTTCAAGATTGTTCAGGTTTGAATACAAATAAAATCATATATCTTGAAGATCATTCACTGTGCAGTCACAAATGACAATTATGAATAAGGATCCCGATTCACATGGTGGAAGTTGCCCGACCGGGGTATAATGTTATGTACCTCTACAGTCTGGAGCAAAAGATGAAATACCTAATTTAACCTTAAATTTACCAATTTCGTATATTACCTTATTTACCTACAGATAAGAGCAATTCATTTAATCAGTAAATTTTAAATTTAAATTATGTGCAAACTTATGTGAATTAGAATTTGATACCTACCTTATCTAAAGCATGGTTTAAGTATAATTTGTTAGTTGTAAGTGAATTTCTATATTTTTATCACTAATCTAGAGTTAAGGGTATAAGCTTTAAATATAGTGGTGCCCAACTTCTTTTTCAAAGTTATTCGAGTTATTTAGAAACCTAACCCACGCCCTATAAATTGAGCTCAAACACATTATATCAAAATAGATAAAACAACCAGGTTATTCATGTTACATATTTTCAAATCAGATAATACTGTTTTGCAGTATTGGTAATTTTCATCGGACATCCAGCTTTTAGGATTTTTATCCATGAATGTATATGGTAGATCAAATTACTCAAATAACAGAAACGAATGCTTACTGGCAAAAGGGCTGAGATTTTTGGATGTTAATGAGCTAATGTTTGCAAAGTAGAAAACGATTGTTCTTCTCAATTTCAATGGATCAATAATTTTTTATTTGACTGATCAGTTGCATTATATTACAGAAATTGTTCACTTGATCACAACTTTATAAGTATATTCTTGATAATAACTTAACGGTATGAAAATAACAAATGCGGAACTGATATTTTTGATTAATAAAGATAAAAAATAAGTACCCTGGAATAATTCTGTAAAAAAATGGAACAAGAAATAAAATTCTTATAAAATTTTGTGTTTTCTGTCAATTGTTTATCTGATTTACGTAAAAAACCATCAAACTAAGCTTAAACAAGTCTGTACATTTTAACGTTTGACAATACACCAAATTTTACTAGGAACATTTTTCCGAAAATTCAATTTTTTTATAATTTTCCTTTGACTTTTTGTGATAACAATAATATTCCACTTACAAAAAGGTAATAATACAAAAATGATAACTTTATACGCCTGTAACTTTTCGAATATTGACTAAGTATACAAAAATTCGCCGAAAAATTTTTGTGGTCCGTCAGACAGACTACAAAATTACCATTTTAATGTTTCATCTACCTTCAATAGTTTAGCTGAAAAATCTGATGTGTCCAACACATGACTTTCCTATCTAGTTATTACGTAGAGAATAATCTTAGAAGTAACTTTTATTTAAAGAATTTTCTTCTCCAAACGTAATTAACAGGTATATTTTATAAAATATAAAAATGACCTTCTATAAGTATCCTCCCAGATATTCCGACTCTGCCCAAAATCTAATCACATATCGCTAATTTTAAGTTCCATTTACTCGGTTTTTTCTTCCTTAAAAATTTGCTTATCCAATGATACCAAGAATTTAGCCAAAAACAGATATATTGGAAATACGAATACATTTTTAATATAAAAGTTGTATAGCCACATTCAACAATTATTCCTAAACTATTCCATAAACGAGGTGCTGACCAAGTCTATACGGTTTTAAATAAAAACGCCCTGCAAGTAGTTACACATATTTGATTATTCTCACAGCGTCAAACAATTTTAATTGACTTTATAAATTTGCTATGTTGTATATAGTGTGTATGAAAATGCGAACTTACGAATTTTTTAACTTTTTAAATGGAATAACCAGTATTAATTAATTGGTGGTATGATATACAGAATATTCCATTGAAAAAAAATTGAGAAAATCGTAACCTCGCATTTTGACACACCTTATATACACAATATAGAAAATGAGTGAAGCCTATTAAATATGTTTGAAAATCAAAAATGTATAACTACTTGTAGGGTATTTTTCTTTGAAAAAGTGTAGGCTAGGTCAGCATCTCGTTTATGGAATAGGTACCCTGTATATTGAATATTAATTGTTAAATATGCTCACACAACTTTTATATTAAAAATTTCTTCGTATTTCCAAAAATAAAACAGTCAAATATGCACTGATGGGACACCTTGTATATTCGCTAACTTGTTGGTATCGTTGGATAGGTAAATTTATAAGTAATTTTATTCTAAAATATACAGGTTGTTGCATTTAAAATTAAGTAAATTGAAAATAAAATTAGTCATATTTAAGACATGTTTCAAAACGCTCTGTATAAAATAATCCAGTTCTATCACAACTATTAGCTTAATATCTTATGAGTCTGTATTTTAAACAATTTCGAAATCATTGTTAACCTTCCTTAATTATGGTAATTTAATTTGGTGTCTGCATTATTCTTTAATTTCACAAAAAAATAATTTCTTGGCAACCCTGTAATATAAAAAAATAGTAGGCTTCCAAAACTGAAATAAAATACAGGACATTTTGTTTAAAAAATATACATTTTTGTCAGGCATTAACGCAACACCCTGTATATCCAAAAATATTTTTAAGGTATGTATGTTTTAAATCCATATATCTTTCATTTGAAACTTGTTGCGTGTCTATAACACAAATTGAAATATTGAACAATTAAGCACTAATAGGACATCCTGTATTGGGCCGTGAATTGGGGTTTAGGTCATAAAATTTTTGTTACGCTGTAACCTATTTTCGGAAAAAAAATATATCTTGTTCTTAACCACAATCATATTATCGGCATAAAGTTCAATGTCGAACAAAAATGGATAACTGTTAAAATATTATGTATTATGTAAAGAACGAAATACCAGTTTTTTAAATAAAATTTTAAAATACAAACAAAAAATGTGTAGAAATAAATTTTATAAAAATATTGGTGACCCCAAACTACAAAATAAATAGTTATATTGTTCTGTAAAATTCATTTTGGAAATAAGTAATAAAAAATAAAACAGAACGTTATATAAAAACTTTATTTTTATAAAAAAAATTTAAATATTTATATTCTGATAAATCTTATCAGGTTAATTATATTTCAAAACTGCAAAAACAGCCGAATTATAAAAATTATTAAATTATTTTTCTAAAAGTTGTAGCCTAATTTAAAAAATTTCATATTCCTAGAACTCAAAATTACTCCTGATGAAAGATTTACTTCAACATTATTAGTTTCTTTTAACTAAATGCTTAGGCCTATCCATCCTAACATCAAAATCATAATGTTCAATCTCATCTAAATCATTATCTCTAAATTCAATGTCTTCATTATGCGCGGAAGCAGTATCTTCGTCCCCAAAAGCTAAATCTGCAGAAGAAACTCTCTTTCCAAAATTATTAAAATTATCGTTTAAATCATCATCGGCCAATTTATTCAGATTCTGTTCAGAATTTGTAGAACTTTTGCTCAGCACTTCTTGCAAAACTGACACTATACCAGAAGGAGAATCATTCATTTTCTTAAGGTTTTCTTCATTTGCAGCAGTATGACTCTTCTCGACCGATTCTAAGGAGAAGTAGTAGTTTCTAACTTCGTTGAGATAGTCTTCGACTTCTTGATCTAAAACCATGACGTCGTAGTTACAAAATTTGGACTTGCAGGTGATACAAAATTCAATTTCTGTGTCGTCTCTTTCTTTGCAGACGTCTTCTGATGTACATCCTCTTTGGAAATAGGCGCTACCAAATTCATTTACTGAAATATAAAGTATTTTAAGATTAGCTCTCAAAATCTGACAAAAATAAGGTTGATTTGTAGGTGCTAACCTGTCGCTACAGCGAAGCATGCTGAGTCCACTCCAACGCACAATTGTCTTCTTCTAGTGGTCTTTCCTCTCCTTCCAGTTCGACAGCTACTGTTGACATCTGTAGAGTTGCATCGAAGACATGTTAAGCTGTGGACTAAAAGAAAAAAAATTCGTTACATATTTGTACGTCAACGAAAAAAAAAAAAAATTGAATAAGCGATACTTGACTATGACTGGACATAATCTGCGCCTAGCCATAGGCATTCTGACTGGTCATTGCCAAGTACGAGAGAATCTTCATATCATGGAGCTGTCAGTATGCGCACTCTGCAGTAGGTGCGAACAAGAAGATAAGACCATCGGGCATATCCTCTACGATTACTCGATGCTCTTATTTATTAGAAGATTTGTGACTGACGAGATCGGCTTACACCAGCCTATATAAGAGAAGCATTTATTGTCAACTACATAAAGTCTGTAGGCTGGCTCACAAGCTAGGAGGTGCCTATCATCTTAGGAGGATGCACAATGGGCCCAGTGAGGACTAAATGGTACGTAATATCAGTAAAAATATACATTGCATCAAAGATCAAAAACATTAATTTTCAGTCCATGACGTGAATTACATAATAGAAACCGGTGACCTGTCGAGAAGTTCCGAGAATTCCACCAGCCGGCAGTTCAAGTTACTTGTTACCTCTGAACAAGTGTTTAACATTTTTTTATTTTACTTTTAGTCTTATGTTAGCTTGCAATTAATAGTCATAAAAATATTGTACTTGTTGTTTAAATAAAAATACTTTTTTTATATAAAAGATTTTTCAAATCGTTTTATATTTTTGGCGCAGTTAGTAGGATTATCACGAAGAATCCGACGTGGATAACTTTCGCTATTTTAAAAGTTAAGTGACAATTACGAACTTTCAACGTTTCGCACTAATTTTGAACTTTCCATCGTGAGAAAAGATTTGTGGTGCTACTAATGAATTGTACTAGAGACTTCCATGGTTAAGACGACAGCCGGACCTTAGATGCAAACGAAAACCGTATGTACTGTAAGTTTTATTTTTCTTTTATGTCAGACTCTAACATCGATTCCCTATCCTTCAGTGATCACGGATCCGATTTAGAGCTAGATTAAGTAATTGAAAGTATTAATTCAATTAATATTAACGATAATTATCTAATTAATTTTAATAAAGTGACACATATCTTAAATTAAACAATGACTTCTCCCCCTAACTTTTAAAAGGTTCACGCGGAGACCATTCCTGATTTTTATGGCGACGAAAACAAGTTGCATTTTTTTCTAGAAAGTATTGAAAGCATAGTTAACCATTTTTATGATAACGTAAAATAAATATTAAAAACTATCAAAATATTATGATATTTAGAACAATTATAAGTAAATTGCATGGACCCGATCGCGAAGTCATTAATATTAGTGGGGCTACTAAAATTAAAGAAATTAAGGAAGAGTTGATTATGAATTAAATCTTATTATCTATAATTTTTGCTCCGTACTAAATTTTCCTAAAATGGTCCGTATTCGAGAAATTTGACAAAATGAAAAAAAAAACAATATTTTTTTATAAAAATTGTTCAAACAAAAGTTGTTTGTAATATAATTTTCTATAATTTTTATTTTATTCAAAATTTCTCTAAAATGGACCGTATTCGAGATATTTGAGAAAATGTGTAAATTACGAGTTTTGAATAAAACAAAAAACGGATAAGAGAAAAAAACATTAAATTTGAAACATAAGTTTTATTTCGGCCTCCAATAAAATGATTATATTTTGAGCAGAGTCGGAACATCTGGGGGGTACTTTATAGGTGGCCATTTTCATATTTTATGGAATATATCTGTTGTTTACATTTGGAGAAGAAAATTCTTTAAACAAAAGTTATTTACAATGTTATTATCTATAATTTTGATCCTTACCAAATTTTTCTAAAATGATCCGTATTCGAGAAATTTGACAAAATGACAAAAAAAAATATTTTTTTATAAAAATTGTTTAACCCTTAGAGGACGGCTATGTGATATTGACAGAAAAAATCGTTGTTTTATTGTTTTTTATATTCTTTTGCATAAAATAAAACACATACATGCAATATTTTATTATTTTTTTACAAACATTTGAAAAAAGTGGTGGTTCAACAGTTTAACCACTAGGGCGCAACTGGCGCAACTACTTGCTATGATATATTTGATAACAGTTTATTTTGTCCGATAGGCATAGCCCATCTGTAAAGTGGAACAGTGCCATTTGGTACGATGAGGTTCTAACTTGGTACTACAGTTGGCACATCGAACGCTACTGCCATATTTTGGCAAATGAGCAGCTTTATCTGTTCTTATTTCTATTGGTACACGTACTTTGAATAGATTTTTTGCAGTTTGACTTCTTCTGGTCTCCGACACATTGAGGTTAGCTCCGATCAAACCTGTTACTACTGACAATTTGAACTCCTTCAGTGCCATGACAGTACCATCCTAACTGGGAGCCACTTTAGAAACTCTTGTCGACCATTATTTCAGACTCTAAATATTTTACCATTGCCCTGTATATACATTATGCACACTGTCTTGGAAATCCACAAACTAAAAGATGCTATAATCTTAAATTCTGATTACCACAACTATCCCACCAGAAGTGGTGATTTAATTAGAACGACACGTTTTCGATTGGAATTATCGAAAAAAAAATTCATTAGATGTTCAACTGTATAATAAAATTCCAGTAAACTTAAAAAATGAAAATTTTTTAGCTTTTAAACGTAATGTTAAAAATGATTTACATTTGCACTGCTTTTATAATATCGGTGAGTATTTGAATAGTCAATGGCGTTACTAGACTGATCTGCGTTTTAATAATTAAATTCAGATCAATGTATTATTCTGTTTGTCTAAAATTTTTCTGTTATATACATTTATATCGTATGTTACCTTTATTATTTATTTATTTAGAATTTCTAAATTGTATTAGACTTGCTACACATATTTTTCATAAAGTAGTCAATAAAGTATTCTTCTTCTTCTTCAATATTTTCTCTATAAATAAGATAAGCATTGATTACTGTCAAATCAACGAAATGCCAAAAAATACGGTGCCACCATTTTTTTGACTTGCGATTAAGCTTATAGCATTTTTTCAGCATATCAGATTTATCAACATAACCCATATGTATGTTGTAATCTCTTACTAATTTTATATAACTAATTTCTTTTGAATTGCCATCTTTTTGTGTTCTATTTGCTTTATCATCATCAGTTGGGTTATGAAAATTACTTAAAAATACAATATCACTTATTCTCCAATCAGACTCTCCTCTGATCATCTTTTTTGTTTGTTTGGTGAAGGACTGGGGAATATGTTTGATGTCACTTCTTGCGTTCCACACGCATATATCTGATCTTGCAACAGATAAATTTCTAGGATTACACTGTTGAAGTAATTATTAAAATAGACTTGATGGTGCTTTCCTATCAAATCTCTTGTCAGATCTCTCACAACTCTTTTACCTAAGTCCTTTTCTGTTTTTAGATTATCAACTTTTCCAGAATATATTTTAAATTGCGAAATATATCCATTTTAGTTTCATTTTATATCCTCGTTTTATGTGTTTTTTAGGCATGCATTGGGGTAAGCTACTTCTACCTTTGAATTTGATCATAGATTTATCTACGGACTGCTCTTTGTTTGGTAAGTAGTTATTTTTATAGGTGTATAATTCTTCGGGCGTAATTTATAGACTTTGTCATAATTTTGACTACCTTTTTTAGACTCCAATGAATTGTCGTTGATGTGAAGGTTTGAAAGAAGCCACGAGAATCGGTCGCGGCCCATACAGGATGAAACAAAAGTATCACGTAGCTCTATTCTTGAGGACCAGTAATCTTTGTAACCTGGCAATTTTTTTATTCCCATCATCATATTTATTCCTAGAAAGCACTTCAGTTCATTTACCGTTGTTGGTTTTTTTATACTATTGTTTTTTCTAGACAACATACAAGTTAGTCTCGAATTCAATTTTTTCTAACAGCTTCTGTGGAACTAAATGTAAAAAAAATCTGCGGGAGTCTCCAAATCTGCTGGTACTGTTGGACCAGTGGTTTGTTGAAAAGGCAATTTCTTTGTTACTCTTTCAATACTCTGACTCAACTTAATCTCTATTGTTTTAATTTTCTGTTTCTTTTTTTTCGGTTCTCTGTTCACTTCGTTCTTGTTTCTCTTCTATACGATCTTCTTTTTCTATACGATCTTCTTTTTCTATACGATCTTCTTCTTCTATAAGATCTTGCTCTTCTATACCATCTTCCTCTTCTACACTATCTTCCTCTTTCAAGTCTTCCAAATCTCCATCTTCTTCCAACCAATCTACATCAATATCACAAAATTCAACATCAGATGCATCAGAACCTTCTGAAGGAATATTATCTAATAAAGCATAAGCTTGATCGCTATTTATTTTATTGATCTTCAATTTTTGACTCATTTTGAATATCTGAAACAAAGTGTTTCTTTAGCCCTAGTAGCCCTAGTGGTTTTATACGAAACCACCAATCAAAATATTTAAATAGTATTAGAATATCAAATAGAAATGGACATTTTCTTGAAAAATCAGTAAATATGTATCAAAAACTTATAAACTATTGACATCTTACCTGATTTTTTAAATAGATTTCAACACAAAAAAAATGAAAAGGCGTGTAAATAAAATCGCCAAAAACGCCACTCTATATGCTCACCCATCACCGACTAAAAGCTAACTAAAACATACTTCGCGAATTTCTTGTTGAAACCTGTCTAGTTGTGACTCATTTGTGTCGGTGGTTTGCGTAAATCGCGACTAGGAAGCAAGCTACAAATTTTTAAAAAGGTGGTTTCACAGTGGGACGACTAGGCCGCAAAGGGTTAAACAAAAGTTGTTTGTAATATAATTTTCTATAATTTTTCTTTTATACAAAATGTTTGCTAAAATGGATCGTATTCGAGATATTTAGGAAAATGTGTAAATTACAAATTTTGAAGAAAACTCAAAAACGGATAAAGGTAAAAACATTAAATTTCAAACTTAAGTTTTATTTCGGCCTGAGGTCAAATGATTAGATTTTGGACAAAGTCTGAACATCTGAGGAATACTTTA